AAGCATTTTGATAACAAAGTTATGTTCTTGTGCAGTAGTAAAATGCTGATCGGATGGGCAGTTTGGGGCTTCAGGAGCAGGCAGAACAAACAACAACATCCAGGACAATGCTCGACCTCCACAGGGATGGGAAGAGCCCTGAGGAGAAGGATTGGGAATGTTGGGGAATCAGAGGCTGGACATGACCTGGAATTGTGCCCCGCTCAGGTGAGAGTCCACCTGCAGAGCTGCTCCAACCCTGGATCCAACAGCAGGAGGATGTGGAGCCACTGGAGAAATCCAGAGGAATCCAGAGTTTGCTTGACAAGATGTTGCAAGCACAAAACATTGAACTTCTCCAAAGAGAACATTTAATAATTATAATTTTGAATAAAATTTTAAAGTTAAAAAAAATTAAAGCAAAATTTTAAAAATAAAAAATAAGTTTAAATTTATTTAAAATTAAATAAATTTGTTTAAAAGTAAATTTTAAATGAAAATAAAATTAATGATAAAGAAATTATATGTATTATATATAGATTATTATTGGCTGTAAGCACCACATGAGGGAAATCAGTACAGAAGAGCTCTTTTGGCTCCAGGGAATATAAATATAAGAAATAAAAATAGCTGGAAATGGAAGGAAACCCAGTTCAGTTTGGGGAAGAACCAGACTGCTTTTTTTTTTTAGAAAATGAAGCAGCTGAACAGAAAAACTTGGGCAGAGAGAGGATTCCTCAAAGCTCCATGATCAGATGGTTTTTAGGGAAAAAAAAAAGTCTTTAAATTGATTTTTAATAGAGCAGCAAAGGAAAAATCAACTCTAAAAAGCAGTCAGAGCTGTGAGATAAAAGAGGTCAAACTGAACCTGTGGTGTGGTCAATTCCAAGATGAAATTCCGTGGAAAAATGCAATCAGAGCTGATTAAAAAATTCCAGATGATTATCATTAAATCAAGCACACTCGAATCAAGACATGGAGTCATTCAAAGCATTTTTAATCCCACTTCCCTCAGGCTGTTCCAGAGTTCACTTTGGATCCCCACCGTGCTGGAAAATCCAGCTGGACCAGGAGCACCCACCAGAAAAATGTGGAATAAACAAGATTGAATCCCACTCTGACACTGCAGGGACTGAGGTTCTTTAACAGTAATTTTGGGTTATTAATGCCCTCTGTACCTGCATCATTTTTCCATAAACAAACCAGGAAAAATGGATTTCCCAAGCCAGGAAAAACAGGCGTTGATGCCAAAGGCCACCTGACGTGCTCGGCGCGGAATAATTGTTACAAATTGGGAGTATTAACATCCTAAGTCAGTAATTATTGGTTTCATAATCCCAAACCTAATTAATGCTCGTTCCTCCAGTTCTTAAATGACAGAAACTTAATTTTGTGGAATTAATGAACAACAAACTGGGTTAGGAAAGTCTGGTTTTAGAGCACATCCATCTCTACTTAGAGAAATTTTTTCCAGAGGCTCCATAAAAGGTTTAAATAAATCCCTGTTAAAAGAGAAATTCGGAATTAATTGAGTGTAAATAACGAGGAGGGGCTCCTGGTGAGACCCCACTGCTCTCTCCATGCCCTACTCTGGATTTTAAATGGTCTAAAAGGGAAATAAATATATTTGAATAGAGAAAAAAATAGTTGATTATTTCTTCATTTATAATAAACAAGGGAGCGCAGAGCGGGTGGTGGAGATGATCCAAGGGTTTCAGCACTTATCCTATGATGAAAGCTTGGGAAAATTGGGATTATTCACATGGAAAAGGCTCCAGGGAGAGCTCAGAGCCCCTTCCAGAGCCCAAAGCAACCCAAATCCTTTGTATTCCTCACCACAATCCCAATCTTTCCAATTTTTTCCCTGCAACCCAATCCTTCACATTTTCACTGAAATTCAAATAGTTCTTATTTTTCACCTCCATCCAAACCCTTCCCATTTTTCCCTGCAATCCAAATCCTTCACATTTTTTCCTTGCAATCCACATCCTTCAGACTTTTCCCTGCAACATCCTTTACATTTTCACTGTAACCCCAATCCTTCACGTCCTTCACTACAATCCCAATCCTTCCCATTTTTCATTCCAATCCCAACCCTTCACATTTTCACTCCAATCCCAATCCTTCACATTTTTCACTCCAATCCAAATTCTTCCCATTTTTCATTCCAATCCCAACCCTTCACATTTCCCTTGCAATCCCAATCCTTCCCATTTTTCACCACAATCCCAACCTTCATATTTTCCCTCCAATCCAAATCCCTCACGTTTTTTCCTGCCATCCCAATCCCTCACAGTTTTCCCTGCAATTCCAGTCCTTCACGTCCCTCACCACAATCCAAAACATCCACGTTTTCCCTGCAATCCCAACCCTTC